ACGGTCCGTGTGAAGACTTCTCAGACTGGGACGTTACTCAAGGTGAATCGTAAGCTGGACAATGTTCTAGCTGTGATACCGGTATTAGTGCGCAAAATGGATGTCATCTCGGAGAGAGTCACCGGACGGTATGGACAGGTTAAAAACCCAAAATTGGCTTCACTGAAGGACTGGAATGATCAGTTTAAAGACTGAAGGCAGAGAGGAAAATTATCTCAGCCTGACCCAAACAAATTCTTGTTATCTGAATCTGACGCCCTGGTAGCCTTGAGCGGTGAGCAACTAAAACCCTCACGAAGGAATGCAGACAGATGCTGTGAAAACCCGACCTACCCCCCCGCCTTCAGATTGGTGGACTTCAGCCTGGCGAGGTCATCAATCTGTAGGCGTCAATGTACTCTTTGCTTCTCCCAAGATCTCCCTCCCACCTGTGACTGTACAGTAGATGAGCACCGAAGATGGCTGCTCTCGCTGGGGAAACAGGATGCCCCCCCTCCGCCTTCCTATTGGAGTCTCATGTTATGTTGTGTTGTCTGAAGTGTGTTGCATATCTGTTGAGGTGTTTTTTTTTTTTTTTTTTTTTTTTTGCAGAACAAAGCTTCCCTCCTGCTGGAGAGTAACTCTGAAGTGCCTTTTTTCCCCTCCACCTGAACCAATTCTCATGTAAACCCTCTTATCTCTATTAAGGTAGCATGACTCGGGTTGCGAATGACCACAGTCACCAATTCTTGTCATGTGTCTTGCCCATGTATGTCTGATCTCTGAATTGTGTGTACTGAAACTCTAATTTCCCTCTGGGATTAATAAAGTATCTTTGATTTGATTGATTGAGTATCTTGTTAATTTATGAGATCACAGCAGAAAAAAGACGGCAGCGATATTGTTGATAGCATGAAAGACCTCTAAACCAGAGACGGAGCAACCATGGTGAGCGTATCTCGCTCTGCCTACTTGGTACTCGTATACTGCAGCGTTTGAATGTGTTGTGTTAATTTTGAGGGATGCTCACAAACGACACTTCTAATCAACGCAGCCATTTCACGCATGTGTTTACATGTTGTTAAACAGCAAGTATATTCCTAAAGGACTCAAATTGTGCAGCAATAGCTCAGGAGGTAGAGCGGGTTGTCCAGTAATTGTAAAGTTGCAGTTTCAATCCCAGCTCCGACCAGAGAATGTTGCTGTTGTGTCCTTGGGCAAGACACTTCACCCGTCTTGCGTGCTGGTGGTGGTCAGAGGGACCGGTGGCGCCAGCGTTCGGCAGCCTCGCCTCTGTCAGTGCACCCCAGGGCAGCTGTGGCTACATCATAGCTCATCCCCACCGGCGTGTGAATGTGTGTGTGTGAACGGGTGTATGACTGGTTGTGTTGTGAAGTGCCTTGAGGGTTGTAGAACCCCAAGAAGGCGCTATACAAATACAGCCCATTTTACCATTTTTTAAAATTCAATCTCCATCAGACCCAACATTAGTTGTACTTTCTAACTAAAGAAAACTAAAGTCAGAAGGGTTGTAAAAACAAATTATGTCCTTTGAATTTTTTTAACACTCCCACTCTCTTTATGGGTGACCCCGCGAGGAAAGTTGACCATTGAGCAGGATTGATGGTTTATCCCTTGAGTTCCATGTGGCAGGGGTGAGGTGGTGCTCACTCCCCTCACTCCTCACCCATGCCACATGGACCCAAGCGGTCACACCCATTAGGACAGTGGGAGGGTTAACACAATTCCAGAGACCCAGTCCTACTCTGTAACTTGGACAAGGAACTCGAGAGCCCTCGAAAATGTTGGAGACATTAGGAAAACTCGGTTATTCATGTTGTTTGCAG